CCCGGCAGCCCCCTCACCAGCGAGCCACACCCACAGCTGGCGGCGGCTCTCGCCCTGCTTTGGGCCATTTCCGCACTCAAGGATCCATCATGGCCCTTAGTGCTGAGCTCATGGAGCTTAAGTTCCCCAGTATGACCTTTGGACCCCTCCCTTATGTGGCCCCTTCCTCCTCTGGTGGATTCCCCTGCCTTCCCCTCTCTCCTCTCTACCTGCAGCCTGCTCACCTCCTGTCACCCCTCCCGCTGCCCCCCACACAGGCCTGCTCCTGCCTCCATCCCCACACTCAGGCAGTTCCTGCTGGCACCCCCGCCAGGGCCACCAAGGAAAGACAACACTGCCTGGCCCTCCCATCCCCCCAGCAAGGTCAGTGGATTTGCCCTGGCCCGCATCAGTCTTGGGCATCTGTACCAAGGCCCCGCCCCTTCTCTGTTTCAGCCGGGCCACCATCTGGAAGGCCCTCTCTCCTTTTTCTCCTCTCTTCCATTTGCTCAAATCCTAAATTGGACTCCGAACAGGAGGCGGACTTCCTCAATCAGCAGACTGATCGCAAGCACAAACGGATCGCTTCCTTCCCTGGACCTGATGGCCACCTCTGGTCAGAGCCCCCCAGTCTAGCGCTGATTGTTTCCACAATGTAGTTCTCTCTCTTTCCCCCTGAGTGTGGGCGGGCAGAGCCTTTCACCGGACTGAGGCTTCGCCCAGTGGGGGTCATGGGTGACGGTCAGCACATTCATGGATGCCCTGACCTCCACGTCCCTTCACAGCCCAACCTGGGGGCAGGACCTCAGTGGACCCTGAGGATTTCCAGCCAGGGACCCCCCCCCGGGAGGGAGGGACCATCCCATCAGCACCTGCCTGACCCCTAACAGGTCTCCGTGAGCTTGTGTTCCAGTGACAGACAGCCACTCCCGCGGACTGCCCCCACGGTGCCACCTGAGGTGTTGGACAGCTTCTCTTTCCCTTTAGTCTCCTCCTCTCTGTGAGAACCTCCACCTACTAGGCTCGGCTTTGGAGAGCAACGGAAAGTAAGCCAATTTGCCCTTCAACACATCCCCACTCCCGTTCCCCGCCCCCCATGTTTTCCCTCTCTGGACGAAGCCACCCTAGCTGTTGCACAAACTGGAATTTCCCACGCCCTCGCCACTCTGGGAATCCTCTTTGAAAGGCAATGCCCAGAGCTGGCTCTCTTTTTCGAAAGTCAAGCCTCTCAGACTTGTCTCTCCTGACATAGCTCCATTTTCAAAAGTCTCCTGAAGATGGCCACCCGTGACCCACTCGGTGCTCTCAGATGAAATTCACTACGGCCCGGAGTTCAAACTAACTAAAGTGATCACTCTGCCTACAGACGCCCACCCCAACCTCGATTCACAAGGACATTTCAAGTCCCCTCTCTGGGCTGGCCTGTCTCCCTCAGCCCAGGTCCCCTGGGTGCCCGGCTGCATGCGCAGAGGGCTCAGCATCCGCCAACCTCGGTGGCCACTCCACTTGGCTATCGCCCTCGGGAAATTCCTCTCGACTTTTATTTTTCAGAAGTTGAGAAAAGCTGCTTCAGCTCTTTCCAAGGATCAGGAGTGTCCACGGCAAACAAGGGCTCTCCCCTCTCCATCCTGCCTCCACCCGTGCACCCCGCTGAAGGGAGGTGACCCTAGGACCCTTCTACCCAAGGCCTTAGGCAACATCTGTTGAGTAAGACAAAAACACTGGTTGAAGATTAAGCCACTTTGCCCTGGCTGGCCTGGCATAGGCTGGAAAATGTGTTTGGCTGGCAGGGTCGAAAGCCTGTGTCCAGCGATGATGGTCCTGAGCCCAGGGGGGTAGGACTTGAGCAACATGGGTGAGCTGGGTTCATAGAGAAAACATGACAGACAGACAGACAGACAGACAGACAGGCAGTGTGAGGCAGGAGGGAGGGGGCAGGGAGGCCGAGTCCAGCCCAGCAGAGGCTGAAGGGCAGGCAGAGAATGGAAAAGGAAGGAAAAATACAGCCCGCCCTTTCCTCCCTCTTTGAACATGCTCGGAGCACTTGCCGGCCTGCTGCGAGGAAACAGGTGCTGAGTGTTCTCTGGGGAAAGCCAAGCTTTCTCCCATTTCCCCGGCCACTTTCCCACTCCCTGGGGGCAAGGCAGAACTGCCAGCTGGGGGCAGGCCCCTCAGCCCCCCTACGTCCCCCTGCCCAGCAGCAGCCCTGTTTATTGAGCACCTCATCTGCACCAGGCATCCGGCTGAATGCCTGTCTTCCAGTCACTCAATAAACATGTACTGAGGACCTACTGTGTGCCAGACAGAAGGGACACAGCAAAGAGCACACCAGATCAAGATCCCTCCTCCACGGTGGAATGCTCCATGCTGGGGTGGGGGCGCCTCCTAAACAAGGGAAGCCAATGAGACTCATAGCTCATCAGATGGTGATGCCTGCTGAGGACAACGACAGCAGGTAAGGGAGAGAGGGCTGTTGGGGGGAGGAAAATGCTGAGGAAAGAATCCTGAAAGTATCTGCAAGAAAAGCGTTCCAGGCGAAGGAAGAGCGAATGCAAAGGCCAGCATCCTGACTGGCATATTCAAAGACCAGCTTGCTCAGGCCGGTGTGGCTCAGTGCCTGAGCATCAACCTACACACCAAGAGGTCACCGGTTCAATTCCTGGTCAGCACATGCCAGGTTGTGGGTCAAATTCCCAGTGAGGGGCATGCAGGAGGGGCCATCTCTATCAAGGCTTCTATCTCTCTCTCCTCCTCCTTTGCTTTCTCTCTAAAATCAGTTTTCTAAAAAATTTAAAAAATAAATAAAGACCAGCAAGAAGGGCTAGGTGGCTGGAGCAGAGTGAGCGAGGTGTCAAAGGAGATGTCCCAGGGGAAAGCTGTCCTGTAGGGTTGTACAAGCCCAGAGAAGGGCTTTGACTCCAAGTAAACTGGGCAGCCATTGGAGGGTTGTGAATCCACATTAATTAAACAGGTTAATTGCTCCTTTTATTCTCTGAACCTTACCAGGTAAGTGCTATTTCCAGCTCCCAATCTGCAGAGTGGAAACTGAGGTCCAGAGAGGTTAAGCAATGTGTCCAAGGTCACATTCCCAGGGACGAGGGAACTGGGATCTATAGGGAGGTGGTCCCACTCCTCCGCTCTTGACCACTGTTGGGAGTCGGCTCTGACTCAAGTCAGGGAACCTCTGGGAGCACAATCCGGTGTCACAGCCACTTCACCACCAGGTGGCTGACCCAACCTGCGAGAAGGGCAGAGCCTTGGGCACAGGTGGGGCACATCACAGAGATGAGAAGATCCCATGACCTCGCTCAGGCAGGAGCCTCTCCTGGTACCAACTGCAATCCCACCAGCTGGAATGCCAGCCTAGTGGTGTCCCCACCCCTGACCCTTCCTTACCTAAGCGAAGCTCACGAGACTCCCAATGGCCAGGCATCTGGCTTCTGCCTAGAGAGCCCTAAACCCCAGACCCCCCAGCCATCCTAGACCAGCCAAGGACATTCTGTTCTCAGGGGCAACAGGGCAGTTGGGTTGGAATGACGGGACGTCCGATCACCACCACCCCCCACTCCTCTGCCCTGCCCTCCCCGGTGTCTCCAAAATCCCAGAGAGATTCTCACTGGCAGCTCCAAACCAGGCCTGCACTCTGGCCTCTTCCCCCAGCACCCACACCCCCCGCTGCTGTCAGATGACCTTCAGCTGGGCTCTGTGCAAATAATACCCCACACCGGGAGCAGCACAGCTGGGCAGAGCGGAGGCCCAGGACTTGAGCCCGCGAGACAGGCAGGGTGGGTCCCTGCAGAGAAGGGGATACTCAGCAGGGCCTGGGCCGGCTGCAGAGGCAGCAGCTGCACAGCTCTGGGTCCAGGCGGCACCTGAGTCACACGCACTTTCACAACTTTTATTTCATTCCATCGGCCGCCCTGAATGGAGGGAGTACTTGTCAGCACTGAGGAGGCGTTTCAGGCGTCTAACTCAACCACCTCTCCGACAGAAAGGGAAACTGATGTCCAGAAAGAGGGCAGGACAGGACCATGGTAAATGGGTGATGGAGAGAAACAGACCAGGTGGCCTGACTGAGATTCCAGAATCCAGGCTGAACAAGTCACCACACAGGTGTGCAGACACTACAGCTGCCTGAGCCCCATGACTCGCTTACCCCTCCCCCAGGTCTCCACCCGCGTCCGTGTCATCACTTGCCCCTCTACACCAAATTGTGACCACAGGGGCCCTCCACGACGCCCCGCACACATGCACGCGTGCACACATGCACACACACACCTGCAGGCATGCAGACCCCCTCCCCTCCAGCCCCCTGGGCCCTGCCCGCCTCCAGCAGTGGGTGTGGAGCAGGAGGGACCTCGGAAGGGTAAGAAGGCAGCGAGAGGGCAGGAGGGAAAAGCTCCCAACATTCCAAATCAGCCCAGCTGGGATCAGTCTGCAGCGGGCTGCTCTCCACTGCCCACAACTCATAGGACCTTGCCCCCCTCCACTGTTCTGGAAGTCCCACTGGGGAAGGGAGGGGGGAGTGGAGGACATGGAGAGAGAGCAGAAAAGCAGAATCAGACAAAAAGCTTGGAGGTGAAACAGGCCACCTAATAAGAGCAACTGCCCAGGTAGATGGATTCTGTGGGTCATGCCATCCATACCCCTGCCTCTGGCTGAAGGGCACCTGACCCAGGACCAGGCGGGTGGGAGGAGATGCCATCCCCTATCCCTGTAAGCCCCAGGACAACAGGCACCTGGCCAGGCCTGGAGACAAGCAAGATGCCCTTTTATGGCTTTTTCCAAGGCCTTGAGTCTCTAGATTGAAATAGGAGGCCCTGCATCCCATCAGAAGGGACCTCATGACTCATTTCCTCCCCGTCCAGCTTCAGCCTCGGAACAAGGCCCCCTCCCCCTTACCTAATTATCCAGCACCCTTGGGGGCTACCAGCATGCTTGGCTCTGAAGTAAGCTGCAGCTGGGAGCAGAGGAAAGAAGGGAGGAGGGGCTGGCAGGGTAGGGAGCGGACTGTCACTCACCACCAATTCATGGCTGGATGGAGGAATGCAGGGGGCAGCCACCTGTGGGAGGAACAGAGAGAGGCAAGGTTAGCATCTTTCATCCCCACAGAAAACCAGGGCCTCCTGAGATCATCCCCCAGCCGCCACCTCCGTGCCGGACACCCTCTCCCTCAGCTCATCGCAGACACTCTCCAGTTGGTTCATCGGAAGATTGTGTGGCGACGTGGAAAAACGCTTAGGCAATGTCATTAGTGGGCAGGGGGAGCAGCAGAAAGCAAACGCAATGTACATCATAATTTTTAAATTCTGAAAAAAATATGCAGACCCTGGAAGAATGAAGGTCAAGGCACCCGAATTATGTTAATAACGGGGTTAAATGGTAAGAAAAATAAGGATTTTTTTCTTTGCTCCATTTTCTCAATTTTCTGCAATATGGTAAGGTTCGTTTAAACTTTTTTTTTTTTTTTTAAGAACAAGTTTAAGACCTCTAGAAAAGGAAGAGTCACCTCCTTCGTCCTCCCCAGTGCCAAGGTATCTCACCCAAAGGTCAGAGCTGCAGACGGCTGGCAGCTGCCCAAAGCATGTGGGAAACAGGTTGGTGAAGGGCCAGCTCTTCCAAAGAAAGCCACCGCATCGCTAACAAATGTGGAAGGACTTGGGCGCTGAAAGCACCCTCTGCAGGTGAGCTACCATTTTATCATCATCCTCACCTTTCTCTCTGATGGGGGGGGGGGCAGGTGGCAACTTGGGCCTTCAGACGGACGGCGGGGGGGGGGGGGGGGGGTGGAGCGCTGGATCGCTCCCTACCCTAAGATAACATCCCTCAGCCAGGCCAGGCAGCCAACCTCTACCCTGACAATTAGCAGGGCCTTTATCAGAGACTCAATGTGTTCCTTTTTTCTAGCTGGGACACGTTTTTCTTGGAGCTCATACCTCAATCTTGGCTCCAGTTCCTGACCTGAGCACCAGGCAGGGGGCCCACAGGGGGAATGGAGGGGGAGGCTCTCCCTGGGGCATGAGGGTATCTGGTCACAGGCTGCAGATGGTCAAAGAGGGGGTGACTGCCTCCTCGGACACTGGGTGACTCCCTGCCCCGGCCACCCAGTGGCGCAGTGGTGTGCCAGCCCACAACCCTGGGGCTGTTCACAGAGGCCCCCTCAGCCAGGTCCTTCCCCCACCTAATCTGTCTGTTGTCCGGCCAGCCTCGGGGATCCCCCAGCTTGACACACCAGCCCAGAAGGGGACAACACCCACGCGACAGGGTGCCCTGGACTCTGGGAGGAGGGAGTGGCCGGGAGTGAGCAGCCTGGTCCCTGCCAGGACTCCCCGCCCACCCGCTCTCCAGCGAAGTGTCCATTGCCCTGGGCTCAACATTATTTCGGGACTGGAGGGAGAATCACATAGAAACCAAAAAAAAAAGGAACAAATCTAACACGTACTGGGTATGTACTACTACAGGACGGGCATTTTCACCAGTGCTTTACCCATGCTCCCTCACTTAATCCTTTCAACAACCTAACAAGGTGGCTCCTGTTATACCTCCGGCTGCGGTCCAGGGGCGCAGAGAAGTTCAACAGCTCGCCCAAGGTCACCCAGCTGAGCAGTGGGTGGAGGGTGCCGGGAGAACAGACCAGGAGGAAGGGACGGGCCGGAGGTGGCTGTGGCCTGCAGGGAGCCCTGCCTGCCTCGCCCACCAGACAAGGTCTCCGCTGGAAGTGCGGGGTTACAAATACATTTGAGACGAGGGTGGAATGGTTAGGCAGCCTCAGAGACGAGTGGAGGCTCTCTCCCAGCACCACCCGAAGCCCAGTGCAAAGAAGGGACCTAGGTCTCCTCCCTGTCCCCACAAGGAGCGACAGCCGCTGAGCAGAGTCACCCCCTAAAGACTTAGATCTGAGCCGGCCTGATGCCTGGGTGCCCCAGACTCCTCCCCCTGCCCACAGCTGTGCATTCCAGCCAGCCTGCCGGCCAGCCCACTGACTTTGTTGTGTGTTTCCATGTTTCTTGTCTCTCCCTCTCCCTCTCTATCTCTCTCTCTCCTTTTTAAAGCAGAGAAATGTTTCCTTAAAAGGCTCTCTCCTTCCCTCCGGCACCTTGGCCACTAGCCACCCTCTCAGGAACCTGGAATGTGCCAGGGAGAGCCAGGGCCCCCTGCCACCCTGTGGCCTGTGCCCTGTGGCCCTGCACTCCCGGTGTCCACAGTGACCACTCCTCCCGCCCCATGGAGACGCACGCAGGAACCCTCCCTCCGCAAAGGGGCAGAGCGCAGGGTGCCTGCAGGGGCTCTCGGGGCCAGCCCGTCCCCCAGCCCGTCCCCGGGGCTGGCAGCGCAGCATGCAGGGCTCAGGCCCAGGAGGTGAGCCTCAGGTGAGCCTCTTCCCTCGCACACCTCCAACGACCCAGCCACACATTTCGGGCCGAGCAGGCCTGATGCTGTCTTTCGACTCTGAACAACCGAATAGCAGTGAAAACAGCAGCACAGCGCACGCGCCCATCACGCTCCTTCCAGCCAGGGGCTGTTCTCCACACTTGGCGCACACGAACTCGGCGGTTCTCACAGCGACCTGAGCATCCCACTCGGTGGGTGAGGAGACAGCGGCACAGAGAGGTGAGCAAGCTGTCCTCATGCAAGTCTAGCAGTCCGGCCCCAGGCAGAGACATGCCCCTGCCCCTCTGCCCCTGTGTTCACTCTCCTATAAACACGAATTCCCACAGAGCCATTCACAGCGACAGCAGTGTCAGAGAGCCTGAAGAATACCGCTAGGCAACAGCTACTGTCCCGAGCCCTTCCCTGGGACCCATTTGATCCTCATAAAAATTGTATGGAGCAGATACTGTTATTAGCCCTATCTCACGAATGAAGGAACTAAGGCACAGAAAGGGGAATGATGTGCCCAAGGCCGTGCAGCAGAGCAGGCTGGCCCCAGGACCTGTGAGGTGCAACTGGGGCTACGGCCGGGGGGTGAGTGTCACCAGGCCCAGGCCAGGGCCGATGCCTGGCATTCGTCAGCCCCCACCAGTATTTTCTGAACTTCAAAAGTCCCTGGGCACAATGCCAACAACAGCGATGTGTCCTTGGAGCCCCACCTCCCCCACCTCAGGACATGAGGGTCTAAGGCACCAGACAGCAGCCAGGAGCTCCCTGCATGACCTGGCCCCTGCTCTCCTTTCCAATGTCATTCTGTACCCTTCCTCCTCGTCCAGGACCAAAGCCACACACACAGGTGAGCTCCTCACAGCCCCGTGAACCCTAGCTCTGCTCTCCCTCGGGGCCTCTGCACATGCTGTTCCCTCTGCCTGAGATGCTCTTAGCCCAGCTGAGCATAGCTGGGTCCCTCCCATCCTTCTGGCTTCGCCTTAGATGTCACTACCCCAGAGAGGCCCTCCCTGACTCCCTTAAGTTACACACACACACACACACACACACACACACACACACCTCTTCCTTCACAGACCTAATTGTAATTCGTAATTGCAGATGTGTTTGTTTCCTTGACTATAATCTGTCGCCCCACCCCCACCCCACCCCACCAAACAAGTGCCATGAGGCAGGGAACACACCTCAATCATCACATTAGTCCCAGCACACAGTAGGTGCGCACTAAATATCGGTGGAAAGATGAAAGAGACTCGAGGCCTGAAGAAGAAAGGCAACTGTAGCCGCTGGTAGTAAATCCACTGCCATTTGTTAAGCCCCTACTACGCACCAGCCAGGGGCTAATCCTGCCATCTGCCTGACCTCTCTGAGATCCTCGGTCCCATGATACAGAGGAAGAAAAGGAGGCTTGGTGGTCAGGACAGTTGCCCCTGGTCCGTCAGCCAGGAAGAGGCGCTGCCGGTGACCTCTTGGTCTGTGGTCTCCACGTGCCACTCTCTGCAGAGTAAGAGGTGACCCAAGCACCCCCCAGCACTGTGCCCACCACCTCACTGCTGTGCCAGGGCAGGACCATGTCTCTAACCGGGCAACACTCCCACCCTTGGGGCTCAGCCGGGAAACCCAGACTCCTGGACTTGTCCGGCCCTCCCGAGGGGCTCCCCACACCCATGTGCCCTGGAGCCTTGCCCCCCCCCCCCAACAAAACTAGAACCATAGGAGTCTCTGACACTAGCATTGCATACAATCAGAGCGGACACGTTCTGTTCCCCACTAGCTCTTGTGAGTCTTTAATTTAATTTTTATTGTGGTAAAATGTACGTAACATAAAATGTACCATTTTAATGACTTCTAAGCATACAATTCGGTGGCACCAAGGACACTCACAGTGCTGTACAACTGTCGCCACTACTCAGCTCCGAAAGTCGCCATCTCCAGCAGAAACCCCACACCCACTACACAAGAACCCCCACCTCCTCCCCCCAGCCCCTGTAAGCGCTAATCTACTCTGTGTCTGCTTATTCTAGGGACCCCAGATAAGAGGAATCATGCGATATTTGCCTTTTTGTTTCTGGCTTATTTCACTGTGTTAAGGCCTGATTATGTCCCTCCTCCAAAACAACACTCCAGTGATGAAGTCCTAACCCCCAGCACCTCAGAATGTGACTGGATTTAGAGACAGGGCCTTTAAAAAGGCGACTGAGTGAACAGTGGCAGTCACGGCCCAGCGGACGTCTGGCAGTTACACACTCTCCGTGTGCCAGTCCCACCGTGTGACCCCTCCCTCCTCGTGAGCCCCTGAGCTCGGTCACTCATCTCCTCACCCTACAGGAGCCCAGCAGTCCCTCCACACCCTGTGAGGTCCAAGGCAGCACAGTGACCGAGTGACAGTTCAGGACTGCCTCCTGGGTCTCCCTGACGGCGATGCCTGCTGTTCCCAGCATGCCGCCCGCGTCCAGGGCAGGACAGGGCACACAGTGTGGCAGAGGTGCCGGGGCTGCCAGAGCACGGAGAGAGCTGGGGTCCTGGGAAGGCTCCACGGAAGAGGGGGCACCCAAGGTGGCCTCCAGGACACATGGCTTCTGATGGTCTCACCTGCAGGAGGCCCATCGTCATTGGGAAGCCCCGGTGCCTTGCTCAGAGCTGGGTACTCGGCAGGTGTGTGGATAAGCTTTTGAAATATGGG